TATTATTATTATTATTATTATTATTATTATTATTATTATTATTATTATTATTATTATTATTATTATTTTTATTATTATTATTAGTAAAGTAATTATTGTTATCCTTATTATTATTAGTAAAGTAATTATTATTATCCTTATTATTGATTACAATTAACAGTTTGATAATTATTTTAATTAATCATCTATTATTGTTATATTTAAGGTTATTTCTAATTTGTATTTTGATTATTAACTTAACCATTTTATTTTCCTGGAAGTGGTGGCTTACTACTTGCTTAATTATATTATTAAGGTTATTGCTATTATGGTTATTAATATGATTATTATCCCCAAAATTATTACTAATTATTAGATCCAAAAGTATTATTTTCCAAATTTAACAATTAGAATTGTTATTATTACTAATTTATTTATTAATTACTTTGTTATTATGATTATATTTAAGCCTGTTTTTAAACTTAGGCCAAAGATTAAGTTGTTGTATTTAATTATGGATTGTAAGTATTAAATTAAGAATGAATTGATTATTGTTATGACGAGGAATGTGTTGGATTATGTGATAAAAATTATTAATTATCAGCTTAGATTGAATATGTTAGTAAATCAAATTCATTTAAATTATTATGTTTTGCTTTGAAACTTAATGGTTGATCTTCATTTTGTTATTGTTTTTTAGGAGGTATTTCTTATTGATTAGTTTAAAATGTGTGATTATGTGGTATACCAGAAAAAGTAGAAAAATGATTAAAGGAATTCCAATCAAACTCTTTACCCTTATCTGGAGAGATTAGATTAGCTTCTTTCTATATTTATTTGGAGTCTATACTAAATTACCTATTATTTCTTTATATTCCTTAATATTAGGTAGAATGGAATTGTTTCAAATCATTTTTCATTTGCTATCCTTGGGTACCATTTTCACTAAAAAATGTATTAGTTTTTGAAACTCTAAAAGGCACTCCACTCATAAGACATTATGTATATCTAGTTTTCGGGTCAGCCTGACCCTACTTTACCCAAGTTCTTTTAACATACTTTTCCTATACAAAAAGTTTAATTTCTTCTGGAGTAGCAGAGGGTTGTATCTTATAATTTTTTTGCAATCTGCTTTCCCAATACCTAATTTTATTCACTATAAATTTACTCATTTTAATCGTTTCCCAAAGTATCCATCATATCAACGTTTTCTTAAGTCCAACAATCTAATTTTGTTGATCTCACTCTAGTTATATTTTATCCTAATGCTCTATGTTATCCTAAAATAAATTTATTTATTATTTTACCTGAGCAATTATAACATACAAAAACTCCAAAATCTAAAGATGCCCAAGTTGGAGATTTTGATGAACAATCTGCACAAATTGCATTACATTGCTTTTTTAGAATTTTCTAAAAGGCTGCTTCTTATTACTTGGATGACAGTACTCCTTAATGACTCATTAATTAATTATAAAATTATTTTTATTAAAATTATATTCCCTTCATTCTAAAATTGAGAATAATATAAATTAATTAGAAGTTATGATGATCAATAAATCTTTCCATTACAAACATTGTAAAGTATTTAAAATTTACCTTTTAACTTTATTTAATAATCATTTTGAATAAAAAACAAAATTGTTATTTGGATTTGTAGTAATAATTACTAAAGATTATATTTGGAAATGAATATTTTTTTAGACATAAGATTCATAGCTTTTGATATAATATCATTTTATAAAATAATATCTTTATTATTGTAATTTTTTGTATAATTATAAAATGATTACTCATATATTTGTCTAGTCGAATTCAAAACAATCTATATTTTGAGTTTATCCAATCTGTTTTCATTCTTCCTTATGGTAATTGAAACAATGGTGAGAATGTGTTATTTTTTCTTGTTTAATTGTTCAGGTTTCTGATGGTGTCTTTTGGGAGCAATCTATTCAAAAAAGTTTGATCATATTATATTTGACTTTAAGAAATAGGTTTACTTTTAATTGATATCACAGAAGATGAAATGTTTCCGAAGATTTATCTAGGTGATATCACATATTTCAAATTGTTAATGTCAGCTGGTACGAAGTTTGACCTAGTAGATTTATGTTGTTTTTAGGGTTGTTTGACAAGATTGCGTCTTAAGAGTTTCAATTGATTGAGAATGTGAGAGGTTTATGGACGCTCTGATTTTGATTTGAATTCATCCATGGAAAAAATAAATTTTATATGGAAATTCAATAATGTAATTTAAGTAATTAAATTGGATTGGAGAATAAAATTCAGTTAAATATTGTTTTATTGGATTTTGTTAATTTAAATAACCACAGTATTTAATTGTATATAAATATAAAAATTATTTTAATGAATATTTAATTGCGCCAAACAAATGCGCGTAACTTAAATAATTTATTTAAAATACATTTTTTCAAATGACAACTTTTGATGGTGAAAGAATATACTATACAAATTAGAAATTTACAACAGATGAGTATATAATGATTTTATATTTTATAGAGAATTTAATCATGAGTCAACAATAACAGATGCTGGAAAGAGGATTTTGAAATTTCTTAAGGAATTTCATTTTTAAGACAAATTTATATACAGAGATCAACTGAAAGAGAACGTTGCAAATAATGAATATATATTGCGAGTGGAAATAAACGATATTGAAAATTAAGATAAAGAACTATATTCTTTTATTTTGGATCATCCATAAGACATTTAGGAAACTTTTGAAGATAAGATAAAAGAAGTAATATATAAAATATAAAATAAAGTTGTATAGCTAAGAAAAGATGTTAAACAAGAGTGATTGTCCAGATTTTTAATTATAATTGATATCTTAATAGAATCCAGATTTGCTTAGAAATTTGACAGCATAACATATTGGTAAATTGGTAACAATAAAATGCATAATATCTGCATCTAAATCAATTAAAGTGAAGGCAAAGAAAATATTAGTGAGATGTAGAGAATGTCAAGATGAATAGAATATAAATCTTGGATTTGGACCAAAACCAATGAATTTACCAAGATATTGTTTGGGAAAGGTTTAATAAAAAGGTGCATAGACAGATGTATAATGTCCAACAGATCCATATGTAATAATACCAGAAGAATGTTAATACATAGATTAATAAACATTAAGAATTTAAGAGCTTTCAGAAGCAATTCCAACAGGAGAAGTTCCTAGAAACTTTATGGTTTATTGTGATAGATATTTAGTAAACAAACTAATTCCAGGATAAAGAGTGATAATAACAGGAGTATATTAAGTACCACCAAAAGGATCATCTACAATAAAAAGTAATGCAATTGATACAGAATTATTGTTACCTTATATTCATGTATTTGGAGTATAAACAAATAAAATAAATATTAAATAAGGATTATCAGAAGCTTAAAGATAAGAATTTAAATAATTAAGTAGAAATAGTGATATATTTAAAATTATAACGAATTCAATAGCTCCAGCAATATATGGTCATGAAGATATTAAATTAGCAATAGCATGTTTATTATTTGGTGGAACATCAAAGAATCTTCCAGATAGTATGAAATTAAGAGGAGATATAAATGTATTATTGATAGGAGATCCAAGTACAGCAAAATCTTAATTATTAAAATTTGTTGAAAGAGCCTCAGATATTAGTGTTTATACAAGTGGTAAAGGTAGTAGTGCAGCTGGTTTAACAGCTACAATATCATATTAACATAATACTTCATAATTTACATTAGAAGCAGGTGCATTGGTATTAGCAAGTGGTGGTGTATGTTGTATTGATGAATTTGATAAAATGAGATCTGAAGATAGAGTTGCTATGCATGAAGCTATGGAATAATAAACTATTTCTATTGCTAAAGCTGGTATTACTACTAGATTAAATGCTAAATGTTCTATACTTGCTGCTGCTAATCCTATATTTGGTAGATATCAAGAAAACAAATCTATCTAAGAGTAAATTGAACTATAAACTACAATCTTATCTCGTTTTGATAACATATTTATTATAAGAGATGTCAGATCTATGGAAAATGATTAAAGATTAGCTAATCATATTATATCTCTTCATACTGGATAGTTTGCTGATCAAGAAGGTATGCAAATTGAGTAAGATGGCCATACTCTTGATCTTATGAAATTAAAATAATACATTAAATATGCTAAATCTACTGTTAAACCTTTACTTACTGAATAAGCAGCATAAATGATTTAAAATCTATATGTTGATGATAGATAAAAATCATAATAGCCTCATCATTCCAAAAGTGGAGGAAAATCTCATATTCCTATTACTGTTAGATAACTTGAAGCTATTATTAGAATCAGCGAATCTTTAGCTAAAATGTAATTATAAGAACATGTTAAAGAAGATCATGTCAAAGAAGCTCATAGATTATTCTAAATATCTACTATGATGGCTGTCTCTTTAGGATCTAAGTATATTCTTATATTATCATTTTTAGAGAATTTGGACTTGATTTATCTAATGACTTAAAATAATTAGTTACTAAAATTGAAGAATCTATACTCAGAAGAATCAGTATTGGCTCCAAAATACCTGCTACTAGATTGATTTAAGAATTATCTGATAGATTCCATAATTAGAGAGCTGTTGAATTTGCCATACATAATCTAATCTAAACTGAATAACTCTAATAAGTAGAAATGAAGAAAATGCTCATTAGGAAAAAGTGATTTTTTATAGTTTTTTCTGCAACCTTTATAATTGTTATATTCATTCACAAAAATATTTTAAAAGATCTTCTTAAAACAATTTTAATATTTCTAAAAATTTCATAATTCAAAACGAATTTAATAGACCTTCAAACTTTTAATTATTTGTATATAATTCAACATCAAATCTTAAAATACTAAATTATCAAAAAATATTTAAACAAATATTATTCAACTTCCTTAAATACCAGATTAAAAGAAATTCAAATTACAAATAATCATAATTATTATAATTCCACTATTAAATCTATTGTTTTCATTAAATGATGACTTAAACCAAATATAAAATTCAAATTTATAAATTTAATTAAAATCCAAGATTTTTCCTCTTATCTAATTAAAATTCTATAATAATATTAAAGTTATAAATTTATAATCTACATCATTTGATTATGTGGAATTTAATTTATTTATCTATTTGGTATAGTTTTGAATAGCATTCAGCCACTTTGATATTTAATTATATGCTGATTTTTAACTAATTATGAATAATATAATTAAAACTATTTCTATTAAGAGGTGAGAAATAGTTCAGAGAATATAATTGAATTGAAAATTATATACTTAGCGATTCATTAAACTTTTGAAACTCTTCAAACACATCAAAATTAAAGATAATACAAAGTTAAATACTTTTGTCTCTTCAAAGCAAATTAGCTTAAAAATTAGGAAAATTGAAAAGAAATATTTAGAGTATAGTAATTAAAAATAAATTGTCTTTTGCTGAATATGATCTACTTGAGAAATCATTTTAAATAGATTATAATTCTAAGCATCTATATAAAAATTTATTAGATTGTTTTTGTGATAAATTATATAATTTACCAAATTTTAATTAACAAATACGATATTATGAATTTACAAATGAATAACTAAAATGAATAAAAATTTTATCACTTTAGATACGATTTATGAAGAAATTCTATTGTATTATTTTCATGATTTAATGGGTTTTATTAAAAAAGATGTAGCACAATTAAAGTACTTTTAGTCATAGGAAAAGTAGAAAAGTAATTGGAATTAGATGACGATTATCCTATATGATGTTAAATAAAGATTTTAATATATTTATATAATTTACAAAATTTTAAACAATCTTAAAATAGTCAATCATTAACTAAAGCGTAAATGATATATATACTGTCAGCTAAAATGAATTCAATCAATAGTTCAAGTAAAACATTTAGATGATCCTCCTTTTGAGATTGGCTTTTGTCTTTCACAAAAATTCTAATTATATTTTAATTATTTACTTATTCTCTCTACATTTTTACTTCGATATCTTACGGCTCTTATAAAATACCTAAATAATTTTACAAAATACTCTTTTCCATTTCTATTCAATCTATGTGAACTTCTATTTACATAGGGGACATGTATTCTCGATCTACTTTTAATGGATTAATATACATTTGACCATTTTTGAATGCAGGTTAAGCAAAATGAGTGATTGCAACTATCTATGTATCCCTTAACATAATTATTTCAGTTACTTATTATTCTATTGAATTATAGCATATTCCACATTGTTCTGCTTTAGATTAAAATCGTGTCTGTCTTTATTGTGGTTCTTTCATTTTTTGTTGCTTTTAATTATTAAATTATTAAATTAATGAATTTTTAATACTTAAACAAAAATTTTAAAGAGTAAGTTGAATTACATTTTTGAGACTGCATGATTTGGAAGTATGAAAAGGTTTATGTGTGATATTATGGAATGTAATTAAGAATGAAATTCTGTTTTCAAAATTGACAAAATTTCCTGAAAATTGTATGTTTGAGGGATCCTAAAAATAAAGAGAGTGGAGAAAATTATATTTGAATGGAAATGAAAATAAAAGTTATGAATAAGGGTTAAAAATAATATGTAATAAATCAAATTGTGATTTTAGTAAATTCCTAACCTAATTGCTTTCAAATTTGAATCTATTTACCAATGATTGACTTATTTTTGATGTTTTGATCATAATGAAGTATCTCGTATATCCAATAAGTTAATTATCGACCTTCAGATTAGTAATTGGTATTAAAATTAGATAAAATGAGAATGAGCAAAGTATATTAGCCTTATTAATTGGCCGTATCTCCATAATCATTGAAGAAATAGACTTGATCATTAATTTTATATCCAAAGGATAATAGGTGTACTTATTTAATGATTGAAATAAATGTATTTATAAAAATATGAAAACTAATGAGGAATAAACATTAATAAATAAATAAGAATAACAAAATATATTTTATTCATTGATTGTGTTAATATAAAATTCATTAACTTGCAAGAACTTAAGGATCTTCTTCAATTTATTGGAGTTATGCAAATGAAAAGGTAATAGACTCCAATATTGGTTAGTTTGCAATAAAGGAAGTTCTTTAACCATCATACTTTTCTTTATTAAAAAGATATAATCTTCTAGAAACAGGGACAGTTAAAGATCTAATAGGTTTAGACCATCCATATCCTGGTAAATCAGGTATTCTATCACAGACAGTAATTGAATCTCCTTTGAAATTGATTTCAGAGAAGAGTTCTGCACAATCTGGATCAAATATTTTGAAATTGGTATCAGCAACAAAGACAGCAGCTTAATGGAAGACTCCATAAATTTATGTATCCCACCCTTTGAGAATATAAATGATAATTACATGTTACTAGATTATATTGCAATTTATTTTCTAATACAACTTTGTTATATTACAATCTCATATTTCTAGCTCTTTCTATATCATATCCTCTAAGTGTAACAATTGGTATTCTTGGACCACTTTACCATACTTTAGGTAATTCAATAGTTTATGAAACTTCAGCAGCACCTGGTCCTCTTTTAACAAATGGATGACTTGATGCAGGATCATTATAGAATACAAAAGGTGGTGATGTCCATAAAGATTGATCAGTACCCAAAAGTACATTAAATCTAACATATTCTAATTAAGCTTGCCAATATGTTCTAGCTGATACAGTAACAGATTTAGGAGTTACTTATTCAACCTAGAATGTAACGAATTCATTACTTTAACTTCTACGATTGGATTTGTCAATAAATGTTTACAACCAATCAAACTTACTATAGCATTAGTTGCTTCTTTTAATCCATGTTCTATTGTATACGATACTTTTCTTTCACCTGATCCAGTCTTTAATTCTTTAACATCAGTTGTTTCAAATGTTACAACTTATATTCTAGGATCGTAAATTGCATACCAATCAACAAATAAAGAATAAACAGGAGATGGTGCTACTGCCCCTCCACTTAATTTAAATCCTTTTTAATCATTATTTCATATATTTACCTGTTGTTGTGATATCGCTAACTCTTTCAAGATAACCATGAGGTAAACCAACACTCCAATCAAGTAATTATGCTGAAATAAACACTTAAGGAGCAACTTCAAAAGGTTTCTTGAATTTTACATCCACTACCACTTATCTTGGAACTCCTGCTTAGGCTTCCAATATGTGACCACCAGCATATTACACTATTACCTATGATCCTGCCTCAAATTGTGGTGTTCTATAACTCCACGCTAATGATAATATTGCTATCAGAACTGCTATCTTCATAAAATCCGTTTTTATATTATATAAATTATCTCATTCTATTTATAAATTATCCATTTCAATCAATTCTCTAAAAATTCTCTTTTTCATCTCTTCTTCAATCTAACAAAAACTACTATAATTAATTCTATTCTTTCATTCTAAATAATTATCTTCATTATTAACTATCATTTTTATCTATTTATTTTATCATAATCATTATTGTAATATATATTTCATTAGATGAATATATGTTCTAATTTTACATTATCTTTGACAGGAGGTTTCCAAGAATGTAGAAATTTTGGAAATAAAAAAAAAATCATCGCCTAGATTTTGAAAATAAAAACATCGAGTATGGGCAAAAATCTAACTACAATTCAAATGCTCGTAGTATTCATTATTCATAATTTGATAAGGCAAATTCTAATAAGACAAATTTTAACAGATTGTTATATAAAAAGCAAAGCTTGTAACAAATTTGTATTAGCTCTTGTTGGATAATTCTCATAATTTGGAAATTGTAAAATAGAAAAAAAATATCATAAACTTGATACAGCAAGCTAAATTGCTTATTAACCAAAATCCTAACTTACTAATCAATTGCAGTTGCGGGTAAAATATTTTTTAGAATCTAATATAAAAGTTGTCTAGGAATCTATATGGTACAATCTGTAAAAGATGGAATTTCATAAATGAATCTAAAAAATTAAAGCAATAATGAACCTCAATTTAAACCTAGTGTTAAAAAAGAGCAAGTTTAAGAAAAAGTCTCTGGTTAAGCTGAAATAGTCCCAGAGTAAGAATTTACATTTTGTCTCAGATAAAAAAGGTCTCTTCTATAAATCAAGAGTCAGAAAAACTATTGAATAATCTTCTTAACAAATTAGAGAAAAATAAAATGTAGAGGATATAAAAAAAGCTGAATCGTAATATATTACTTCATACGATAATTAATAATCAATTTATGATTAGCAAGAATAATTACAAAATTAATACCAAGAAAATCGGTAGTAAGACTCTGAATTGAATTTATAGAATTAAGACTAATAAGAACAATCAGAAAATGTTTAATCTTTATAATAATATTAAGAATAAGATTAATAGTATGAATATTAAGAATAAGATTAAACAATAACAATATTAAGAATAACAATAATAATATTAAGAATAAGAATAAAAATAATACTAAGAAGAATAATAAGTTGTAAAAAAAGAAGAAGAAGAATCTACTTATTAAGATAATTAAAATGATTAAAACTAATAATTTTAATTATAAAATAACTAATATGATGATGGACAATAATTATTTAATAATCTTATGAAGCTTATAATGAATATATACTGAGAAATTTTGAATATTAATAAATAATAATAATTTATTTATTATAATTAGATATTAGATCTCGATGCTATTTAGATAAAAGGAAAAAGTTCCTGATTAAGGAAAAGATAACTTTCGTGATTTCATGAGAAGAGAAGGAGATTCATGTTAGCAAACTTAAATGAAACTCTCTACATTTATTCATAAAACTATTCCAAATGAATAAACATAGTCTTAATTAAGGTAAATCCAAAAATAATTCTTTAGTCCAGTTCCTTCAGTTTTAGATGGTTCATTGAAAATGATTGGTAATTCATGGGATGCAAAACATTTAGGAACTTTTCTTTAAAAAAGTTAATTTGCTACTATTGGTGGGAATTCTCTCAAAAATACTGAGTAATTCTAAAACAGCATGAAAAACTAAAGTTTTTTTTTTAGAAGCTAATAACCTAGAATAATAGATGATCATGTTGATTATTTACATTAACATACAATTAATCATTTAATAAGTGACCATCCTACTATTAAAAGTGGAAGTTAATTTTTACAAAAGAAACTTTTATCTGTACCTGATAAAGTATTTGATGAATCGAAACTTAATTTTTTGACAGAATCGGGATTGAAAAAACCAAAAGAATAATTTTAAGAAATGTAGTTAACCAAAGAAAATCAATTGAAATATAAATAATGGAGATCAGAATTTCAAGATGTAAATCGAGCTTACAAAAAAGCTAAACAATGTTTTAAAAGTGGATTGTATGGTTTAGATAACCCATTAAATGAAAATACAGAGTTGTATAAAGAAGAAAATGCCAAATTCAAAGGATAAGAATAATAAAGCATTAGAAACTCATTACAGAGATTTAAATGTAATAATATATACTCAATTTAAATAGCTCTTGAAAGATTTAATGCTAGTAATCCTGCTATTGAATTTAATAATATAATTCATTAACCATTACTTTCTAAATAATCAGATCCTTTATTATCCAAAAATTGTTTCCCATAACAAAATTTTGAGTTGCATGATTAATGGATGAAAAGAAAATTAATTGAATAAAAGATTGATACTAAAAATAGAATATTTGGAGAAACTTCTTAAAATTAAGCTAACTCATAAAGAGCTTTGTTTTTAAGAGAATAAGATGTTAGAGGAAGAAATTACAATCCTGTCAACCTCACAAAAAGTTTAATTGGTTGATTATATCTTACAATTAACTATAATTCATATAACCTATTGATAACATCTTTCTTTTTATTCTCTCATTCTTATTAATATATATGATCTTCTATGAGAAATATCAATCAAAGAAATAAATCTATAAAAAAGGTAAAAATATATTAATTTATATAAAATTACATCAAAATAATAAAAGCATAAGTAATAGAGGAGTCTCTCATAAATTACATTTAATATCAAATCAAGGGCATATATAATGAAGAATAGTTTTTTATCAATATAAGGCTTAATGATTTTGTTATTTAAAAAGAAGAATTTTATAGAAACATACTCAGTTTATTTTATCCCTAAAAAAATCTCTTGTATAATATAATTGTTGATATTTTTTAGAGTCATTTAGATTTAAATGTGATTATATATCATTCTAATTACTTAACCTATTTTCTAAAAAAGATAATGAAAATTTCTTATCTTTGGTTAGGTGAGGAGATTAGTATTTTTATTATAGATTTTATTGAATAATTTTAAGAATTGGCATAAAAATAATATACAATTAACATCCATTTTTAACAATAATTAATAAGTTTGTGATGAATATTAATTTATTCCAAAATTTTTCCTATAATTCCTTTGATTGAAAATTTTAAATGATAGCCAAAATTTATGAAAGAAAAAGAATCTTAAAGGGTTTGTTATATTTGTAGAGAACAGAAAAAACTAGTTGAAGCTAAGTTTTAGAAATAATTAATTCTGTTAAAAAAAAATCAAAATATAATTTACAAAATTTATGTTATTTAATAATAATTATAAAATTAATTATTTTGTATTAAAATTATTATAATCACAATTTAATTATAATATGTAAACTCATTCAAAATAAGTGGTTGCACTAATTAATCAATTACCTAAAAGAGATGAACTTAGATTCTTAGAAAAATAACCCGGAAACAAAAAGGTTATAACTGAAACTAACAAAGTATTTATCTCAGTAATTAATGGATTACGATCTTTGGTTGGAGATGTTTAAATAAATTCAACAACTATTCCATTTAAAGTATTTTCTCTTAAGTATCTAGCAAATAGAAGAAACATTGGATTAGTTTTTGGAAAATGCAGCTATTCAATTTGATAAAATGAATAAATTAAATATAGCTCCAAAATAACCTCAAGTTTAAAAATCAAACTAGCTTAAACCCAAAGATATATATGGATTTGCTGATGTAATTTAGCTAAATAAATTACCATTTATTCCTGTTTTAAAATGCAAATAATATGCATAAACAGAATTAGATTAAAAAATAATAGAAGCTTAAAATAACCCATTTACATTTTTCGAAAAAAATGGAATTGANATCAATATAAGGCTTAATGATTTTGTTATTTAAAAAGAAGAATTTTATAGAAACATACTCAGTTTATTTTATCCCTAAAAAAATCTCTTGTATAATATAATTGTTGATATTTTTTAGAGTCATTTAGATTTAAATGTGATTATATATCATTCTAATTACTTAACCTATTTTCTAAAAAAGATAATGAAAATTTCTTATCTTTGGTTAGGTGAGGAGATTAGTATTTTTATTATAGATTTTATTGAATAATTTTAAGAATTGGCATAAAAATAATATACAATTAACATCCATTTTTAACAATAATTAATAAGTTTGTGATGAATATTAATTTATTCCAAAATTTTTCCTATAATTCCTTTGATTGAAAATTTTAAATGATAGCCAAAATTTATGAAAGAAAAAGAATCTTAAAGGGTTTGTTATATTTGTAGAGAACAGAAAAAACTAGTTGAAGCTAAGTTTTAGAAATAATTAATTCTGTTAAAAAAAAATCAAAATATAATTTACAAAATTTATGTTATTTAATAATAATTATAAAATTAATTATTTTGTATTAAAATTATTATAATCACAATTTAATTATAATATGTAAACTCATTCAAAATAAGTGGTTGCACTAATTAATCAATTACCTAAAAGAGATGAACTTAGATTCTTAGAAAAATAACCCGGAAACAAAAAGGTTATAACTGAAACTAACAAAGTATTTATCTCAGTAATTAATGGATTACGATCTTTGGTTGGAGATGTTTAAATAAATTCAACAACTATTCCATTTAAAGTATTTTCTCTTAAGTATCTAGCAAATAGAAGAAACATTGGATTAGTTTTTGGAAAATGCAGCTATTCAATTTGATAAAATGAATAAATTAAATATAGCTCCAAAATAACCTCAAGTTTAAAAATCAAACTAGCTTAAACCCAAAGATATATATGGATTTGCTGATGTAATTTAGCTAAATAAATTACCATTTATTCCTGTTTTAAAATGCAAATAATATGCATAAACAGAATTAGATTAAAAAATAATAGAAGCTTAAAATAACCCATTTACATTTTTCGAAAAAAATGGAATTGATGAATTTGCTCATCCATACTATGAAGAAATAATGAGATTGGCACCATAAGATTTTATTCTTGATGTACCATCCAAAATTAATAGATTCAGAGATTTAGAACCACCTAATATGATAAGCAATGCTGATCAATTGGGGGAACTTATTCTTAAAATTCAACAAGAAGTTGATTAGAATGGTTTTAGTGAAATAGCAGTAGATTTAGAGCATAATCATTAAATTTCTTATTTAGGAATAACCTGTTTAATGTAATTAAGCACTCGAACTAAAGATTATATCATAGATCCTTTTCCAATATGGAAATAAGTTGGAGAAATGTTAAGTGCTGTGTTTTCAAATCCAAGAATTGTTAAGGTTTTCCATGGAGCTGAGAATGATGTTTAATGGCTTTAAAGAGATTTTGGTTTATATATTGTGAATCTATTTGATACTTTTCATGCTTCTAAAGAACTACAATTGATGTAAAACTCCTTTTAGTTTTTGCTCTCAGAATATTGTAAGAAATCTACAGATAAAACATATTAAACAGCTGATTGGACTTAAAGACCATTATCTGATGAAATGATTAAATATGCTTAGATTGATACTCATTATCTACTTTATATTTATGATAGAATGAGATAAGATCTTAGTAAATTAAATAAACCATAAGAAAATTTAAACAATGTTCCAAATTATTATATTGAAAGTGTATTAAAACGAAGTAAAGAGACATCTCTTAAAATTTACAAAAAACCTTTGTAAGATTAAGATTAATCATTGCAAATCATTCTTAATAAATAAGATAGAAGAATGGATTCAAAAAGCTTCGATTTAATGGTTAAGTTATTAGAATTAAGAGAAGAATTAGGAATTCAATATGATCAAAATCCAAGATATTTTTTACCAAATCCATTTTTATTTAAATTAATTGAATCACAACCTACAACAATTTAAGAATTAAAAAGTCAGTTAGGAGGTGATAAAAATATACATGATATTATTAAAGAAAATCTTTGGTAATTTTTAAAAGTTTTCTTGGAATTCAATTAAAAAGTACCTACAGTTGAAATCATTCAAGAAGAATAATTAAATAAAACATAAATATAGATTGAAGACATATAACCTAGTTTATAAATAGAGCCATTAAAAATAATTTAGATTCCAGTCAATCTTTCATAATTTTAAAATTAAAATAAACGAATTGTTGAACATTTTTTTTAATATGAAAATGTAGAATAAATAAAAGGGCAATTTTTGTGTGAATCCCCATTCAAACTGTTGAATGTATTTCATAATGGCCTAGGATCATAAATATTTCAATCAATGAAAGAATAAAGTTAATAGCAAAACTAATTAGTTTAAGAAGCAGAACAATAAAAAATATAAAAAATAAATACCTCTGATTTTATTTAACTTCCTAAATTAGATGAAACTAATAGAGATTAACAAAAAGAGATCGACATTAGATTAAATAATACATTATAAAATTAGCATGGAACTAAAATTTTGAAAAGGCATTAAAAAATAGAATAATAGAGAACTTAAAAATCCAACATTAGTAATAGATTTGAAGTATTATGACAATAAACTGTATATTTATTTTATCAATTAATTTTTAAATCTAAATATAAAAATTAGGAAGATTAATTATTTTGTTTCATTATTCAACCTCACTGTTAAATAAATTTATGTTTTACTTTGTAAATCAATCAGGAAGGATATTTAAATTGAACTTTTTATAAATTATTTCAAATTATATTTCTTTTTGTTTAACTTTGTTTTTATAAAGATTTTCCTAATTATAGTTCTTATAAAAAATTTACAATTTGATTTCTAGATTTACAGATGTTTAAATAATTAAAGTAAAGAAATTAAATATTGATCATGTTCAAACAGTAAATTTAAGTTGAAATTTAAAAATTTACATCCTTTCATCCAGAAAAAGTCTGCGTATCTTTTATTAATTCTAATTAATAATCAAGTCTTCTCAATCTTTATAAACAAAAATAAAAATAACAATAAGATGAAAGTATTACCATTTTCCCTTTTGACTCTATAGTTCCATAATACTAGTTTGGAAGAGAATTACCAAAAATAAATATAAGAATAGAAACTTACCTATTTCAGATTTCTGATTTCATTTGTGATTTTGATTACATTTGTAGGATTGTTTAAATCATTAATAGAATAATGGGGAACTTTTTTAATTCTATCTCTTGCAGTGCAAACTGTGCTTTATTTATTAGCGTTAATATTCAGTCGAAAAATTTCTCCTTACTTTAAGTATATTCTTCCATCATTATATGTTGCTTAATATACTTATTTCATAATTGGGGCACTAAATAATCTATTATAGTATTTTATTCGAATATTTTAGGCCTCATTATGTTTATGGATTTATAGGTGGAATTTATTCATGTTGTATGCTGAATTATCTAAGTGTAAAAATGAAAATCCTTATTTTATCTTCTTCCGTTTGGATAATGCTTGGAATATTTGAAATATATTCATTAGCAAATTTGAATTATATTTTTCTTGCAATTGCCGCTACTGGTATTCAGGCATTTTATGCATATGTATATGAATATATTATGAGATTAAATTTTTCATAAGGAGTCATTATCAACTACTAAAAGTAAAAAATTTATTATTATAATAGTGATTTATTGTTTTAATGTTCAAAATAACAGATGCTTATTTTAAGTTTTAACAACAAAAAAACATTTTTTGAACTTGATTTTGTAAATCAAAAGTTTGAATTAAACTAAAAAATAGAAAATGATTAAACAAAACTCAAAGAATTTTTAAGAAATAATTTTATAATTAACTTAGATAATGATTAAATGTTTGGTAGTTTAAGAATTCAAAAGTTTGCTAATAAATAAATTACTTTAGAAGATTTATTATTTGAAATATACAGAGCTGCAAAATAGGATGAATAATGCTTTAATTAATATGAAATGATTGATTAGCATAATTCTTAAAAAGAAATTTAGATTTAAACAATAAATGGACTGAAAACTCTTTTTATAATTATTATTAGTGATAATAATAATAAAATTTAAATTGAAAAGTATGAAAAGTAAATAAAGATAATAAATAATTAATCAATCAATTTTTCATTTTAAGTAGGATAAAAATTATAAACAATTTATAAATTAATTTATGAATTGGAGATTTATAATTAAGAAAATCCAACTTTAAATAAAATTAAAGGAATTCTCTAGTATATTCTTAATGAAACTAAAAATCAACTAGTATTTTTTTCATAAAATAAAAGTCCATAATTACTTTAAAAAATTGATCATTGTTTATTATCTTCGCTTATAATAGCCTTAAAACCATATTTTTTATATTAATGCTAATAATAATAAAAATATTTTGAATTATTATTTGATAATGAAGATGTTCAAATGTAGATAAATACTAAACAATTTACTTAAATCCTTATAAATATTTTCAATAAAATTCTCCTCTATGCAAAATCTAATAGCACAATTTTGTTTAGTATTACCAAAGATTCCAATCTGAACCCTTAATTTGATGTTAAGTCATTATCCAAATAATCATCCAAATCTAAATATGATTATTTATGTTCTTCTTCAGGGAATAATTAATTATTGATAAATTTAAATTTTACTTTTCTAACTAATGAAAAAATCAGTAATTTTGAAAATTCTTTTGTTAATAAAAAAATTGATTGCATGGAGGATGATGATTTTATTACTATTGTTAATTCATATTTGTTAAAACAACTTAGCCCTTACAATAATATTTTTATAACTTAAGAGTCAAGATCTAAATAAAAAAAAAACGTTAAAACAACTCTAACATTTTATATTTACTCCGATTAAACCTAAATCGAGTAAACATATTTTAAATACATAAATTAAGAAAATATACTTTAATGATTATTTATTTAATCAATTAACAATATTAAATCATTTAAAAATAATTATTTTTATCTTAAAAAATCTAGAATAAATATTATAAATTTTATAGAAAATAAATTACAATTAATTTAAGTTAATCTGAATATTTATAGTAATCAATTTTTAAGTACTTGCCTATAAATTTCTTTAAGATTTTATTCTAATTTTTTTTAATTTGATCTAGATAGTCTTCTATTTTCTATCATATCTTGATATATTTCTGTTTGAGTATTTATTAATTTTGTATATTTTGTAACATCTGGTATTTCTGTGTAAACTTTATTGCTTATTCGTTAATAAGTATATCTAATGAAATTATTTAAGTTTACCTGTCATATATTTTTTATATTCTTATTTTTGCGTCTTTATCTTACAATTTTGAGACAAAATTATCAAATTTTATTCCATATTTTAATTGATATTTATCTTTGGGGGGTTTTGTATTTGCAAATGCTGAAATAGGCTTTGATTGTTCTTTTTTAATTAGTTCTTTCTAAATTCTCTTAATTTGAAAATAATTTTATAATTTAGGATACTTTTGTAATTATGTTTCAAGACTTATTATTTCTTAGCTATTAGTATCAGTTTTTAATCTTTGATTTTATACAATTTGTTAATGATTTTCATATTATGGCATTTAGACTTCGTTAATTGGTAAATTGATATATGGCATTTCATCTTAAGTTGTATATGTGTTACTAATAAAACTATTTTCATGCAAAGAATTATGTTTAATTCTTAGTTTATTTGAAGGTGATGATTTTTTTCTAACCAATGAGTTTAATCTTTCATGTACACTTTTTGGATTATTTTTTAATAAATATTTTCTGGAATCATGAGCTTTTAAACTTGCTTTTAGAAATTATTCATCATTATTGGTATATACTTTACTTTTTTTTGGTGAATTTGAATGTCTTGAGGATGTTTTATTTCTCTGTTCTTCTAATAAGTTTAATAAATTTTAAAACCTTTACATTTTTATTATAATTATTTATTAAACAATAAAATTTTGTTCATTCAACTAGTAAGTATGATATATTCAATATATAAATTACTCAAATTCTTCTTTTATATTTTATATACCTATTTTTTAAGCCCAAAATATAATTGTATTTAGGCTTTAATGATTTTAATTTATTTTAAAAAGAATCCAAGTATGCTTCTTTATTAAACAATCATTATTCAAAAATGAATCAAATAGATTATGATAATCTCTTTAAAATACTTTAGAAAATTTAAGAACCAATACAAATTTATTGATTATCATAATTTTTTAAGAAATTAATATTTACCAAAAAGCTAATCAAGAATCTAAAAGAAACTTAATTACTTTACGATTATAAACAATTTTGATTTGCTTTAATAAAAATTCTTTAGATATAGATAGAAACAATTTTTGGAATAGAATTTAGCCTAAATTCACAATTTGATTTATTAAAGATATTAACATACACTTAATTTAATATTTATATATAGAACAAGAAAATATTATTTCCTTATTTAAGAATAATCTATTCTTTAAAAAATAGAATAAATTTTTTATACACCATAAAATATCATAAAATAGTCCATTAAAAAGGAAGTCTCTAATTTGTTTCTAAAAAATTTTAACTTTAGATTTGTTTCCATAATTATTTTGAACATAGAAAGTAGTCATTTATTTTTCAATAAATCACCAGAAATTTTTGAAATATTTTTAGTTATTTTGAAAGTAAAAGATAATATTTTAATGAAGTAAAACAAAAAATAATAAATTAAAAAAACAAATAATCTCTATTAAATCCTATGTTACTAAATAAATAGTACAATTTTAAAAATATATAATTTAAAATGAATATTTATGTATTTCTTCAAAGAGTATTAATTTATAAATTGTATATAATTCACAATAAGAATTTAATGTTATAAAGATTTTGATTAAAAATACTTTGAACTTGAATAATATTATAAGTTTAAAATAACTTTGTCGAATATGAAGTCTTGTATAAATAATATTAAAAGTTTGTAAATAATTGATGATGTCAATAAATTAATTTAATTAAAAAATTCACAATGCCTATTTCGAGTAAAATTAAATAACATAACTAGATGAAATCTATCAGGAGTTGCTTGACTTTGAAGAAAGATACCATAAAGGATCAGAGAAATATGATGTTATACAAAAATTAATAGATTTATATGCTTAGTTAATTGAGCATTATGACAGCATATAAGTAATAATTGAGTAAATTGTAGGATCCAGTGGGATATTATTTTAATGAGAAATTATAATCATTATTTGCTTGTCAAAGAGCCCTGAAGAGCATTCGTAAAACTAATTAAGATTAGCCACCATCAATGCCAAGTCATACTTAGAGTTTAATAATATAAGAGATTAACAATAATTAGAACAGTTATGAAAATACAAAGTCAAAGGTTTTTGGATATTTTTATAATAAGTAATCTGTATGTGTGGAACATAAAAAGAGAGAGCGTTAAACAAAAGCAAAGATTGCGATGGAAATATAAGATAAGATTGAATTAAGTTAAAATGATTTGTAGCATTTAATAATTGGTTATTAAAAAGCTTCAGATTAAACATAAAAAGTGATAGAGGAGGATCTTAAGCGATAAGATGAATTGTTTTTATAGAGAAGGCTTAAAAGAGAGAGTATAATTCAATATTGATAAAAGAAACAAATTTAATGAGAAAATCCAGTAGAATGTGCTCAACTAAATGTAGTACTGAAAGATTGGATCCATTCGAGAGTTGTATTGAATTTTCAAGTGGAGGAGTGGATTAAAATTAAGATCTTAATAATATCAGATTAATGTTGTTACTTAAAGAAGAACCAGGTAAAATAAGTTCAGAAAAGACAAATGCTATAATAATACAGGATCAAGTGGAAGAAGTGTAACCTTTTGAAGAGATATAAATAGAAGAAATGGATGAAACAGAAAATATTATACCACCAAGAAGATACATAAGAGAATCTTCATCTGAAGATGTTACTGATACTCCTCCATAACCAAAACGAAAATTCTAACAATTCGGCATGATAGATAATAATGGGGATATGTTGTTAATAGAGGATGAATAAAATTTAATAAGCGATTTAAATATTGGATTAAATTGAACTAGAATGATTGTATAATTTGCATTATGATAATTATCTATTGTAGTATGATAATAATGATCTTCTTCAAAAATATATTATGCTTAAAGCTCAAACTTTTAGATCTAATTACAAATATATAAAAAGTTTATACATAAACTAAGAATATTATGATTCATTATTATTTTATAATATTTTGAATATAATCTTAAATAAAATCTTATTTTGTGTGTGAATATATTTCTGTGAACTCTTATTCTATATTCCGAAGAATGAAGATTGATGATGATAAAATAAATTTAACATAGTAAAAATGTCTTAAGAATTGTTTATTATAAGTTCTAATAAAATATTTTATATAATTTATAAAACTAAATTCTACATGTCAAGTGAAGAACCTGTGGTTGAGGGATGTGAATTATTGGGAGGGTTCGGAATACTAGTATAATCAATTCTAGGATTACTTTGCTTTTTAGTCCTTGTTTGTAATATATATATTAATTTTAAAGTCAAGAGACATTTAGAAAAACCTAAAAGAGTTTGGAAAATATTTTTGATGGTAATTTGAGAATAGATAATTTAGGATACTGCAAAATAATTCGTTAGTGCTATTGTTCAACATTTTTTAAATATTGGATTAGCTTTATTATTGAGTTCTGCAGATAGTGGAGATTAATGTTAATGGTACTCAATTAATTAATTTAGGTATTTTATTACATACATGCTTGATTGTACTGTTGGAATGGCTATTAATTGCTTATTTATCACTCTCTTTGAAAAACTATTTCAAAAATTGGGTTAAACGGTATACATTAGAATAATTCTTTTAGTAATTTCAAACTGGCAATTATTACATTATATCATATCCTCAAATTACAACTTATTCTTTAAGTTCCGATGATTTGACCCAAACAAAAAAAGCTAAACCAAAAGTTGAGGTTGCTTATGGAGTTTATGTATTTTAATTAACCTTATGGATTTTAATCGTTGTTGCAGTAATTTATCACTCAATAAACAAGAGCAAAGTTATCCTATATTTCTTTTAATTACTCTTGGGAGAATATTTACTAACAGCAGTATCATGGATGTTTTAGCCTATCAATTAATATCCAGAACTTGAACTTATTATTGTACTTGTCCTTATACCTTTAATATTTAATGCTCTTTGCGTATCAAAACAGGTTATTATAGTTTTGGGTGCAAGATTCATTTCTCAAGAAAAGCAAATTTAAGAAAAAGGAAAAAACTGCAGTTTTAGATGCTTTATATGAGAAATCTGACTAACCAATTGAAGTAGATATCATAGATGGAGATGAAAGCTCTAGACCTTCTATCGCAGGAATAGAATTATAGACTCAATAAAAAAAGAACGATTTAGTCATGACAGAGACTTAATCTGATAATGAAATTAGTGAACAATAGACTAATTCATCAAATGAAGTTTGATGAGTAGAATAACTTTTTTTATATTATTTTATCATACTCATACAGCTTCTAAATTTACTCTCATTCTATTCTATCTTCTTAATCAAATAAATAAATAAATAAGTTTTTTTCTTAATATGAGAGTTTATTAAACTTATTATAATAAATTAATTCAATATTTTTATCTTCAAAGAATTTTGAAATAATTTATTTTTTCAAATTATTTTAGGAATAAATCAAACTTATAACTTGCTTAATGTCTTAAGTTAAGTCCACAATTAATTTATATTTTTATTTAAATATTATACTATTTTTAAGATTTAGAACTTATATTTAGTCAAAAACAAGAAATTATTTTAATCCTTAAGCAAATAAATGGGAGCTAAAAATTATTCATTTTAACAATATGCCATCATTCTAAGTTTTCATTACAGAAAAAATAAAAGAAACTCACTATCAATCCTAAAACAAATATCGATAGTATTAAGGCTCAATAGACTTGTTGCTTTTTATAAGGTTTTTAATCCACTAATTATTCTCTACACATATGGAACTTATTTTATTTTTGATTCATACTAATGAACTCTTAATAAATCTTCAAAGATTTAAATACTTTTTTAAATGAAGAAAGTTAAGTAAAGGTAAATAAAACTTCACCTAAAGGTTTATAGAATATCAATTTAATCTAATAATATCTATAGATTAAATTAGCATTAATGTAAAATATATTAATCTTTTTTAACCAAATTTAAAATAAGCCAAATTCATAGATTTTAAACATGTTAAAAAGCAATAAAACTTTTCTTTAACATCATATGGCTTTTTATTTAAATTTGAATTTAAACAATTTAAAATAATAAAAATTATCAACTTTTATTTTTATCATCATTCCAAGCTTAATTAAGTTCATAAAATACTCTTTCAGCAATATACCTTTAGATAGGAGGAGTCTAATTATGCTTATCAGGATGAACAATCAATAAAGCTTGACGATACTTTAACTATTTTGATATGAATTATATTTTACTTTAACTTTGCCATCGGTCATTAAATCACCTATTGAACATTACCAACCAGTACCTTCCCATAAAACATCATTTAATGTAGAGAGTAGTAATCTTAAATTATTTCTAACATCGTTTTTAAAGGCCCATTTTAATATTTTTGGTTCTACCTCATCTTTAGCTTGTTATCTCTAAATATTATAATCTGCTTCCTCTTACCAAATCTTTTATAAACCTTCTGCTGCTTATTCTACTCTCATATCAACAATTTATTTATCTGTAAGTCCATCATATTATTCATTAGATTATTATTATTATTACTATTATTTTGCCTGAGTTGGTGTATCAAATTAAAATAGATCCTAGCTTTGAGATTATTCATTTTATAAATTAGCCTAATTTTCTATAGGACCATCAAATTCAAAAAGGTCTTCACCTTTTTTTGTTTATTATGGCTGTTGTTTTTATTAGAATTGTGTAAGCTTAGTATCATCTCCTTCATTTTACTCTATAATTGGTTTGAATTGATTAAAATTCTAAAATATAGTATTATTTTAATTGTTGATATCTAAATCTGCTTAACTTATTGGTTATGATTATGTTTGATGACGATTTGGCTTAAAATCTAATTTTTCAAATGCCTCTAAAAGATCACCACTCTAACTGGTTCCATTAGATTAATTACTCAATTATCTATTGCTTTATCTTTCTCCACCTTACTGAATAACAGGTTGAACAGTTTATTTTTAATTTTATTACTATTACAATTTAGGTGATGAATTTTATTGCTATGCTAAGACTTTAATTTATGTTTGTGGTGATTATTAAACAGTATTTTTTTAAACTCTTACATCTCCAACTTTTATATCCTAATTCACATTTTCAACCATTTTTTTAGCTATTCTGCTATATGACAGATCTTAAAGAGTTAATATTTTAACAAATACAGTATCATTAACTACAGGTACTTTTGCATTTGGATTAGATATATCAAACCAGGCATGACTATATATTAAATTAATCAATTACGTTTTTGGTTCAATATCTTATACAAATATCTTAAATCTTATATGGTGAGAAGTAATTTTAAAAGGAAATTACTGCAAAATATTTTTTACAAGAAGCTACAATTAAAATTTTCATTTCTATACTTCTTCTCCTTAGAAAAAGAACATATATTATGTCTTTGGTTCATTTTGAAAAAAATATACAATAGGAACCTATTTCATTAATTTTTATAATATAATTTTAACTATAAAAAATGTTTTGAAAAGTATTCTAAATTGATTTAAATAATGTGAATAAATGAACAATTAGGTAATTCAAGAGTAGAATAAAAATAACTCTTTAGTGTTTTTTATAAAGAAAAATAGATATATATTTTCTAGATTAATATCTATATGAAAAGAGAAACAAGTAGATTCTTCAATTTGATAAAGAAGTTGTAAAAACTTATTAAAAATTTAACATCAATTTTAATGTTATGTGAATTAAATTGAATAAATCAACCACTTGTATATTTGGTGACTGCTTTTGTTCCTTCTGAGATGGCATGTCTGGCCAATTCTCCTGGAAGAAGCAATTTGACTGCTGTTTAGATTTCCCTTGAACTAAGTGTTCTTCTCTTATTGAATCTAACCAATTTGCTGGCTTCAAGAGCAATTCTATCAAAGATATCATTGATGAATGAGTTCATAATGTTCATAGCTTTTCTTGAAACACCAATTTCTGGGTGAACTTATCTTAAGACCTTGTAAATATAAAGAGCGAATGTCTCTTATCGTCTTCTTGCTTTTTTTTTGTCATCTGATCCTTTCTTTGTCTTGACTGTTTTGACTGTCTTTTTAGCTGCATCAGCCTTTGGTGATTTTGAAGGTGCCATTTTAATTAATTTGAAAATAATATTTATAAACCAATACTTAATGTGCCTTTCTTGCAATTTGATTGGCTCATTAGGAATATTTGAAGTATGGGCTCTAAAATAATTAACTATTTTCTAAAGCAATACTACATCCAAATTTTGACTAAAAGAATGAGATTGTCAATGAAAAGAAGATTATATACAAAATTCTAATTTTTACGATGGCTGAAAGATTAAACATGAAAATGAAATAAATTAGAATAAAATATTTTGTAGTATCTAAGCTTATCTATATCAAATAAGAGATTCAAATTAATTATTTATATTCATTCTTTACCTTAAAGAAGGTGTTTATGATAAAGAAATTTTGGTTTTAATTTTAATTTTAATTTTTAAAGTATATTATTGAAACAAAATATAAAAATAATGTATTGTATAATTTAGAAGAATATATAAAAAAAAATATTTAGTTGATTTTTTAGTTGTTGTTAAAGAAGAATATTAACATAAGAGCACAGATGCAACATTATATCTTAAAGATTAAGAGATTTATATATGTATTGGAAGAGTGGATTCAGAATATAATGAAAAATTTGAAGGAAATAAAAATAATGTTTTAAATGAAATAAATATTATTCATAGCGCTCTTGATGATTCTAAAGCTTTCTTAATTAATTTATTCATTGCAAAAACATCTAGGCCTCCAAATTATGCAATATATTTTCCTTTCTCAAATAAGTATACATAAGGTAATGTGGTAGGAGCAAATTGTTTGACTATTTGATAACATCCCTCTTTTTCATGATCAACTACAAATATATTAATAACCCCTGTTTATTAATTAAGTCTTTTTCTTTATTAATCTAATTCTTTTTTCATTAAAGTAACTAAATTAAGACTTGGTTGACACCTAGAAATAATGTTAATATAAACCATTCTGCTGTAAATATTAGAATGGCCACTCTTTCTTCAATGAGAATGGATGCTTTGAATTCATCTATATTTTGAAGTGGAATAATTTTTGAGTCCATTTAATAAATTAATTATTTACACACAATTTCATAATACACTTTTTTTACCAGCTGTGTTAATAAATGTTCTTAATTACCATTCAACAATGGCTTCTTTTTATCCAATAGTACCTAAAGTTATTTTGTATGGTTTAAGTTCAAATCTTGGGCCTTATTCATTAAGATCAACTTGATTAAATGTTTTTTGAAAAGTGTGATGTCTAAATGAAATAACACCATTTTCATTATGAAAAGTTAAAACTCTTTTACTATCAATTTTAGGTACTGGAAAGAGATGTTTTAAAATGGTAATAACTCTTTCTCCAAGTTTTGTTGAGAAATTATCAAAAATTAAATGAGGATACTATTCAGAAAGAGGATCTAATATAAATTATAAATGAATACCTGCTCTAACATCTAAATCATGTCTTAAGACTGCATTTTTAACACCAAAATAAATTGTAGGACCTAATGGCATATGAGATATAATTAATCCATCAGGTTCTCCTCTATGTTCATGTACAATAATAAGATCTGAATAATTTTTTTGTTAACAATGTGTCACTAAATCTTTAACTACTAAAGCTCCTCTATTAACTCTAGTACAATTAGGAAAGATTAAACCCATCTCTTTCATTAATGTTACTAATCTTTATGATGGAGATCTGCTTGTTGTTAATGCAATTTAAGGTTCTCTATAAAAACTCATAGCATATTCATCATCTATATGAGTTCTTGGTACTATCCCATTATTATTATTATCAAACCTATTGTATTATCATCTTATGCATTTATTTCTTTTCTTAAATTATCCTCATCTCTATATAAATCTGTTGGAACATTTTTTCTTTCAATTTCAGCATTAAGTAATCTCATCTTATTATCATACTTCTGTTTTGCTCTTTTTTCATCTTCTATTCTCATTAGATATTCTTTTCTAAGTCTTACGTTCTTTCTGAGCATTAATTAAAATTATGAATAATGACAATTAGAATGCTTAAGTGATTCTAAAAGCAAGTCTTGCAAAAACTAGAATCACTAAGATTCTATAAAAAAAACCAGACTTTTAACTAAAACTTAAGCTCAATGCTCTCGATTCAATCATATCCAATTTACCTACTGAAGAGGAGTCTCCTCCATAATAATCAATGTAAACACTTTAATCTTCTTCTATTCTTAATAAAGCCAAAGAAGTTATTACCTCTAGAAAATAAAAAATTAATTTTGATTCTGCTTACTTAGATCTTAAGAAAGAAACATTAGAAGATGATTCATTTAATTAATTAATCCTTGAAAATCTTGATAAGTATGCCATTCATTAAGATGTTGCTTTAAAAAAAGCTCCAGCCATTATAAAACATAAATCTGAATAGTAAATTATTCATGGATATCAAATGCTACCAAAAATTGCTGTTAGCAATTAAATAAAACGAAAAAAGGAAACTATGAAGTTACTTAATTAATAATTAAAAATTGATCAATAATTGGTTAAATAATAAACCTTAAGAGAACTTCAATAAATGAAATTGCCAGATATATTTTAAAGTGTTACAATTAATGATTTGAAATAAAAAGAAAACATCCAAAAATTTGTTTTATAAGAAGAGTTTCATTAATAATGGAAAAAATCATTTAGATTAAATAAACCACCCTCTTTAGTCTAATCCTTTTTGAGCATGAATCAATATTTATTAGATTCAGCAGATTATTTAGACAAAATAAATAAGATTGAAAGAAAAAAATTAAAAGATTAAATGGAATCTTTGAATGAATTTGTCGGGGTTTAATTTGAAAAATTAAAAATCAAAACTGATCCATGTTGATAGAACTATTCTTATAATATTTATTCTACCATAATATAAATTGATTTATTTTTATTATATTGTGATTTTTCATATAATTAATTTGCAAACAATCAAAGATTATTGAAATCAAAACTCTGATTTATAATCTTCTTAAGTAGATTATTATAAATTTACTTAATTCAATATAAGATCATATATATTAAAGAATAAAATAAGATCTTAATTTTGTAATTCTAAAAGTTCCTATTCATATTTTTTCTTTTCAGCACCTTTATAAATATTAATCCAATCTTTAATTTCTTTTAAAGCTTACTTAATAATCACTTTATCACTCACTGTTAATGAAAATTACTTCGATATAATTGAGTAATGAGTAGATGTAACTTTTCAAAGAATTTCTAACTTCATTCATTTCTTTTACAAAAAAATCATATTCTTGAAATATTTCAGGTTCTTCCAAAATCTTTTAAAATTCTTCTTTTGACAATCTATAATTAGAATAATTAGATATAATCAAGTTTTCCTTCTTTCTCTTTTAAAGCCTACTACACAAGGAGTATATCAAATTCATATTCAAATTTCTAAAGTGATTTCAATTTCTGAATATGATGATATAAAATTAAAGCTGATTATTTTATAATTATCATTAACAAGAGAACTTTCTGCTTCATTAACTATAATAGTTACTTTTTATTATTATTTTTGAACTTCATTGATAGAAAAACTTCAGATTTTAAAAAATAAATAATTGTGCCTTTTTTAATTTTTATATTCGTAACACCTTTAAAATTTGACTCTATCTTTTTGCTCGAGAACCATCCTAAATGATACAATCAAAACTTAATTTATATTAATGTTAATATATCGAACCTTTTATTATTTAAAAAATAAACACTAGAATTATTGTAAAGTATTATGTTGTGATTTATTTTATATCTCTTAATTCTTGAGATCAATAAAAGTTTTTATTTTTAAAATGTCAGTAATTTTTATTGAATTGTTGTCAGTTTTCTGTAAGGGAACATAATAAGTTTTCATTTATAGAGTAAATAATTGTTTATGATAAATGATAAAAAGAAAATATAAGAAAGTAAGAATCATTTTTTTAAGATAATTAAAAACATTATTATTTGAATGTTATTAATTGTTATTCTTATTAGTTAAGCATTTGGAGACTAATTAATATTATCATAAATATTATGGAGACATGGTGCTCGTACTCCTCTTCATTGTAATTGGAAATGCAAAGAATTTGAAAAAGAGGGAATGTTAAATGGATATTTGACACCAACAGGAATGAGGCAACATTATGTTTTAGGTTAATGGTTAAGAAAGAGATATATTGAAGATTTGAAACTTTTGAGTTCGATTTATGATGAATCTGAAATATATATTGAGAGTACAGATGTAAATAGAACAATAATGAGTGCATTAAGCAATTTATAAGGATTATACCCAATAGGAACAGGTCCAAAAGTTAATCCAAATTTGAATCATTCTTATTTACTTCCACCAAATAAAATTGAATTTGAAGATTTTGGAAATGAAGCTATCCCAGGATTTCTATAAGTAGTTCCAGTACATGTAAGAGAAAAGAAGGCAGATATATATCTAAGAGGATATGATGCTATAGCATGTCCTAGAAATGAAGAAATAATAAACAATAATGTCAATTCTATATTATATCATGAAATTAATAATAAGTCGAAGCCTTTAATCTAAGATTTTGCAGAATAGATAGGAATCGATGCATCATTATTAGTATATATAAGAATATCATTTAGAATATTACAGATTTATATGAATATCAGGACACTTTCGATTCTTGCCAATTCAATGGATATCAAATGCCAAATTTAAAAGAAACAACTAAATATTAGATGAAACTTCTTCAATATTTGTATTTCTCTCTTGAACATAACATAGATTTTGAGTAATTCAATTCATTTATTCATTCTAGTTAAGCTCGTCTTTTGGCAACTCCATTTTTTACTAAAGTATTAGAAAATATGGATAATGTAGCCAAAAATTAAACTAAACATAAATTTAGAATCTTTTCTGCTCATGATACTACTGTCGAATTAATTTTAAATGCTCTTAATTTAACAACTGTTGAATGCTTAAAATAAGTATATTTCAAAGAGGAAGTTAAAAATAAAAATTGTATTTATACCTTCCCAGGTTATGCCAGCAATATTATATTTGAATTATATAGAAAGTCTGCCTAATATGATTAGTATTATGTTTAAGTATTGTATAATGGAACTTTAATGCCAATTTGTGGTAATTAGTATAAATGCGATTATCAAGAATTTGTAGATATTATCGAATTTTAAAATGTGAAAAATTATGAAGATGAATGTTGGATTGTAATTATTGATTTTTTTATTTTAGACTCCAAAAAGTGAATAATAAATAGCAACTTGGTTAGTTGTGACTATAAGTGTAGCATTAACTTTATTGCTCATGTTTTCTCTTTGCATTATTTATTTATTAATAAGATAGAGAAGATTGGACTTGTATTCAAAAGGAGTTTAATAATTTGAGGCTTGAAATTATAATTAAAAATATATACTAATTAATTTCTTAAAGAGAAGTTTGCAAATACCCAAATTATGTTCTAAATATACCCAATGAGTTCTAATAAGAAATGAGAATCTTAACTATCACAAAACTATTTGCTGATGGTAGATAAGATTTTTAAAGAAATACTAAAAATGATAGTCCTCAAATTGCAAACAGCATACATGTTTTAATTGTGGAAGTGTAGATTAAATTAAAAATGGAAGGAAGGTATTAGTTAGAAGAAATTTAAGAATTGATTGCCAAATTCTTAATTAAAAATAGTAGATTGATCAATATTTGAATACTGATGGATTAAATTTAATGGAAAATAGATCGAACTAAACATCTCAAAAATCTTAAGTTATTTAAGATATTTTTAATATTTAATAATTAATATTCATAAATTTCTAGATCAGAAATAATTTAATGATAAAAAATTAATATTATGAATAATAATATTGAATAAAAGAGTTAAATTTAAATTCTCTAGTTTTTTGAATATTAAAATTCAGTCCAAAATGAGATTGAAAAATCTAAAAAGATTTTACAAACTTTGATAGATTTAAAAAAGAAATTGTACAATGATAAAATCCTTCAATAAAGAGAGATTCAAATGTAGCATCAATAATAAATTGAATAATACAAAAAAGTAGTTGAAGAACAACAATAGAAATTGAAATCAAAAGTAAATAAAGAGAATATTTAAATCTAACTGGGTTAAGTAGTCTCATATCAATAAGAATAAAATCAAAAAATTGAATCTCTAATTGAATAATCATGCAACGAAAATTCAAATTATATAAAATTATAAGAGAAACTGATAAGTATGAATAGTTAATAACAATTTATTAGAATAATAAAATGATATCAATTAATTGAAAGAGGAAAGGGAAATGAAAGAGAAATTGATTAGTTAATTGTAACAAATAACAGGAGTATATTTAGAATATGACCATCATCAAAAGATTATTGATATTTAGATGGAATACAATTCGAATGTTCATATTTAAATAAAATTAGAAGAGAAATTAAGAAGTAAATATTTGAAATTATCAATTTAGTTCATACTATAAATCCTAAGAATGAGCATTTTTACTAATTAATTAAAGAGTTTAATTAAGACAATTAATTAGATAAACTTATATAAAGAATTTAATCATTTAATTGATAACTTATATGCTTATATATAAATAATCAAAATAAGTCTAAACCTTCTCCTTTTTTTCTCCAATAATTTCCTTTATATTTATAAATTAATTCGTTTGTACATGGTTCTTTAATCATTTCAAAAAATGCAGGTGAATGTTTTTAACCTGCAATTTACATTTCTTTTCTTCGTAATCTTTATTTTTATTCTAGTCGATGTTTTTCATCAGCAGCTAAATCAATAAAACCGTATTCTAAAGCTAATTAATCAGGTCTTAATCTACAATCAGTACATGGGAGTGATTTAATTAATTCTATATTAAGGAGATTTAAATTTAAAGCAAATTTAGTAAAAAAGAAATAATTCTTATAATCTTAAGGTAAATCATATCTTTTCCAGACAATAATTTCTCTTCCTGTTTAAACATTACGAGCAATCAATTAATCATTCCATAATCCTTTTAATTTATATTTTTCTTTTCCATTGTTATCAAAAACAGTTCCAACCATTTTATGATTTTCTGATAGAGTTAAGACTCCTCTATCATTTGTAGTATGATTATTAAAATTCATATCACCAATATGTTCAATATACATATTTCCAAAAATAATATTATGAACTTTTGTAGTACATTTATTATAGGATATATGATCATTAAATTATTTTAATTTAATATAAATATTTCCTAAAGGTTAAACTTCCATAGTTCTAGGTGACATTTTAGTTTTAATATCTGTTTACATCTACATTTCAAAATCTATAGATTCTGCATATCCAGCTGATATTGGAGGATGATGAGATACTTATTCACTTATAAATCTAAATTATTTATTTTAGATTTCAAATGTCTCACCTAAAATAGGATTAAATGGCTTCTTATGTCTATCAATATTACTTGAATAAGCACTCACTGCAAAACCCATTACATAACACATTCTTAACCATTAATCTTATTCTTAATTGGCATCAACTAATGTTTAATAATATTCTAAATTCTCAGCTAATCTTTAAAGCATAGATAAAGGTTCATTGAAATAAACAGGAACAGCAAATTTTGATAGATCTTTTCCTATTAAATCTTTAATAAAACTCCAAACTTTTATTTTCTCATTTGGATCTTATGTTCTAGGTAATGCTATTCTAGATTATTAATTTGTGAATTATATTTTTTAAAACACAGCATTGTTTATTAAATTTTTCTAATATATATTAATATATTATTAATACATATTTTATTGGCTAATCATATTTGATATGTTCTAAAATATCTTGAATTGATAAAGAACTGTTAGTACTTATTTCTGAACTTTATCGATTAAAATCTTCTATTCTTGTTGAGATGTTTCTAAATGATTAAAATAAAGTTTAATTATCATCTTAATATTAATTCAAAAATTACCTGATTATTGAGACTCTAACTTTTATTTTTCAACTTCTAATAATTAAGTACATATTGTCACATTCATTTTAATCTTTTAAGCTAACTCACTTAATTTTTCAACTAATTCTACATATTTTGGTTATCTTTCCAATTTAGGCACAAGTAAATTTAAAGTTTCATCAACTAATTATTATAGAGAATAAGTATTGTACATGCAGCCTAAGTAACCCAAATATCTGTTAGAATATTATTTACTTCTTTAAGAGAATCTCTAGGAATTGTTTCTTAACAACTTTCTTATGCTCTTTTTAAAGCATTTACCCATTCAATCTTTTCTGGTACACTTGAAGCTCTAACCTATATTTCATTTGTCCCTGTGTTTATAATTATCCTCAAAGGATCTTCAGGTACTAATATTATAGCAGCCACTTTTAAATGAATCTAACCTTTAGACTAACCACCTTAATGCTCACAATAATGCAGAATATGATCATTCAAAATAAAATATCTATCCTACCATCTAGTAACAATGTTTATCCACTTTTTAAGATATCCTTCCATAATAATATTATTATAAATCAAATCTTTTTATTGTATATTTATATAATCAACTCAAATATTAAATAATTTATTCAGTTAGAAACTATTATATTAATTTTTAGAGTTTCTTTTATCATTCATTATCTTTCAAAAAACTGGCTATTCATTATATATATTTTTATTAAAATTAAGATTTTAATCTCATTTTATTTAAAGTGTATTGAATAATAATAAGTCAAATCATAAATATTTTAATATCTGTCACTTACACTCATTTTACATAAGACTCATATAATTTAATCATTCTAAATATGATATAGTTTTAATGCCAAATAATATCATAATGTTTAACTGCTTAAAAAAACAGAAAAACCTATAGAAAATGAGATTTTAACTTTTATAATAAAGAAACTAATATTGCCAATTTTGAATTATCAAATTATCTCCTTGTGAAATGATTAAATCTATAGTTTAATAAGCATGCGAAATTAAAATAAATAAACATAATTTTGTTAAAAACCTAAATGAATTTAATAAATATCAAACACTTAGAACTATAGTCCACAAATTTAACATACTCTTTGAATTTCATATAAGCGAATTATTGATCATTTTAATATAAATATAAAATCATTTATGATAAATTACATCTCGAAAGATCAGTGATTAAAGAATATGCAAAATAACATTTCAATCGCTTACTTTTAATTAAGAAATCATAATAAGAACTGAAAGGAGAGATTCTAAATCTAACCAGTTTACTATGTTTACCTTACAAGATATTGGATTATACTAGGCAAATTTAATATAAGCTATCTAGAATTAATTATAGAGTTTTTTGACAAAAATGAAAGATTTTATTCTCACAATTATTAATATATTTAGTTTTATTAACCTTTCTAAAAATTAGTTATAGATTGATTTAGTTTTTTGAATGTTTATAATAAAATGAGGTTTTAATTTTCAAGATTCCTATACTTTACTTCATGATGTTAAATTTTTCCAGAGTAAAGGTATAAATCAGGACATTCATTTTTAAATATAATTGTTCAATTTACTATTGTCAATCAGATTTTGTTACAATATCATTTACTGATTAATTCATTCAATGTCTTGGTTTTAAAGATTTTTTGTAACAATTCTTTCTTTATGAAAAACAGAGAAATGTCAAAATATAGAATATATTAATGCAATTTAGAATTAAAAAGAAAAAAATGCCAAAAAGTATTATGATTAATTTGAAACATTAATTTTATTATATATTTTAATGAACAAATCAATTCTGATTCAAATACTCAATTCCAATAATGAAAACTTAAAAGATATTAGTTAACAGTTATTGAATATTGGTAATTGAAAAATAATAATAAATAGGAATTCAAAAGGTATTCTTTGAATTATCCAAACCCTTTGAAAAAATAATATTCCCAGAACAAATGATAAAACTACTGAGTGTTTTCCATTCTATGATAAACGAATAAACATTATCAAAAGAAGAATTTATAGATAGCCATATATTCAGCATAACAAACTCATAAGAAAGCAACACTATTATTGAGAGATTATAAACAGATTTAAATTTGACTGTCTCAAAGAGCGTAAATTTAGCTCCTACTTGGGATTATACACCAAATTCTTATAAGGAAGAAAACTACTTAAATGTTAGTCCAGAATAAAGAAAGAGTTTTACAGACAAAAAAATTGAATTTCAGCAATTGAGAGATCCTTTAACTTATTAATAAATATTGTAACTCTATTACACTTATTTGAAAAAAATTTGCATGTAACAGCATACTGGAGTACCAATAATCGATTGTTTTGTTATTCAGAATATTTAATGTATGGGTTTAAGAATTTTAGAAGGGTAAAGAAATTAAAAAAAACTTGGTTTTTGTTTTAATTTAATAATTAAGGATATGATATAATATCAATCTTAAATTATAGAGTTAGTAAATAAATCATTGAACATCATTGAAAAGGTTTAAATCAAAGAAATCTATTTACAGATGTATCTAAACAGCAAGTAATTGAAATATTTTGGTAAGTAAAATAGAGTAAGAATTGATTAAACTCAATTTAAAGAGTTCAAGAAAAGTTATAATAATTAGAGATTAAAGTTTAGATTATGTGAATCCAAAGAAAGGATTGAATAGAATGACTTGCAAAATGAATAAAACTTCTATAATTATGAAAGAACTCAATTATATAATTAATTTTGAATAATTCTCAATAATTTTATGTATAAATGGAATTAAATATATAAAATATTTTAACTATTTATTATTTGTTTAAAATTTACATAAAATTTCCAATATTTATATGAATTATAGCTAACAATAATATTATTAAATAAACATATCATTTTAAAAAATGAATCCCATTTTGAAATCAAATAGCTAGTCGATTTTCAAAAAGGCTAATTTTTACTATTTAAGAATATCGAATCTCTCGTATGAAGAGACATTCAAACTTTTATTCATACTTTTAGCATGTAATTCTACTACTCTATTAATATTAGCTATTCTTTCTTTTTTTATCTTTGATGCCTTGCGTTTTAGATAGTACTTAATTATGGTTGATATTCCTGTGATTTCTTATTCAAGTTTTAGTATCATGTTATTGGGATTAATCATTGTTCATGTAATAGGATTATTAATTTTTAGTACTTAAAGTGGTCTGTCAATTACCTTTGTTAAGATTTTGTGTATAGGACAATCTCAACTTAGTATTCAGGAGAATTTAGAGATGTGAGAGTAAAGAAAATTTTAAAATGGTTATTTGATGGAGTATACTATTCAACAACATCTGTATATATAATTGATTTGATTATTTTAGATACTTTGTTGGTACTTCTTTCATGAAGAGCCTTGGTATCCAAATGGATTAGGTGGTACTAATTATACAAGTATTTGGTAAAATTTTCCAAATATGATCAATGTAACAGTTCTTGTAATTTTGTTAGAACAAATGGGTGATCCCTTTTTATATGATTTAAACAGCAAATCATTTATATGCCTTGATCCACTTGGCTATAAAGAGAAAGGAAGTCGAAACAAAATATTGGGAATATATGTTACATCACACACTTGCAACTTGTTTACTCATCTTCTCTGCCCTCTATAATCAATGTAATAATATCCTATTTATGTTTTAGTTCGATTTGGAATTGTTGTATTGGGTATTCATGATATTGCTGATATCATTTTATCTCTCTCAAGAGCTTAACATGACTTAAAATCTATCAAATTTCTTATGTATCTCTAATACGTATTACTTTTATTCACATGGATTTATACTAGAGTTATTATATTTCCTTAAATCATTTTAGAAGCTATTATGCACTATCAAGATTAGTAAAAAATTTATTCTAATCTATCTAGTCCTGAAGCAGCTTGGGGAAACAAGTACCTAATTGTTTAGATGTGCATCTTATTAGGAATGCATCTCTATTGGACCTACTTTATGATGTAAATCGGAGTTAATGTTTTTAAGAAAGGCAAAAAGTATGAAGAAATCAATACATATGACAATAAAGAAATTCTTAAATAAGGAAGAAATTGATAATCATTGAAAATCAAACTTTTCTAAGTTAATTATTTAATTATAAAATAATATATATTATTGTAATTAAATACTCTTAAATTACTCTGTTAATTATTTCAATTCAATATTAATGCAATTTTATATAGAGATTGAGATTACGAAAAAGTATATTAAATCAATATGCACTAAATTAAGTTTCTTCAGCAATTATTGTATCTTAATTAAATTTAAGTTTTTTTCTGATATTATTATCAAAATCTGTACAAGGAATGTTTTTAGGAGTTTGTTAAAAAATTCTTGAAAATTTTCTAATAATATTGTAATAATTTAATACTCTTAGAAGATGGTTTGTAAATCATTAATATTGTATTATCTTAAATTAAAACAATTTTCTATATGTAACCAATATTGAAATTTCTTTTCAAAAGGTTACATTCCTATTTTACAAATTTAATTAACGAAATCTTCACCAACTAGATGTTAAGAAAAATATTATTCAAAAAATATTGTACCATAAATACTAAGAAATATTTTATATATATAAATACTTATGCTAATTTTTGTATGACCATGTTGACAAATCTGGTTGTATTTCTTTTTTGGATTAAAAATATTGCAGATATTTTTCTCTAGTTTTGCATTAATATGGGAAAGCTTTATGTTTATTATCAAATGATAACAATAAAGAGGGATAACACAAAACACCTCTTCTTTCTTAGGCCATAGAAGATTAAGGATTTTGTAATGTTTACTTATTCCAATTAATAAGTTAACCCCAAATAAATTAAGGTGTGTATTATTTAGATAATGTCAATTTAGATTTATTTTTTGGTTAAGGAATATATTCAAACTCATTCTCTTCAAATGGTTTAGCATCAAAGCCTTAATATTAAGTGGATGAAAAGTATGTATGAGTAAATGACATAAAATATAAAATAGTAGCAAAGGCAAAATTATTAAATTAACAAGATTAGATATTTAAAATAAGTTCACTCAATAATAGAAATAACATTCTTGTTAATTCTAATGCGTAATCTTATTTTTGATCAATTATATATTTGATCTATTTGATTATTTCTAAACCTTAAATGCATTATTATATTTTAGAATGTCTTTTTAGGAAAATGACAATTTCATTAATGATTGAGGATTCTAACTAAATCTTTTGAGTATTAGTTTCATAATTGTTCCAGAATTAATTGAAAATGTTAGATACTAGAAAAATAGGCGGTTACATTGTCTTTAAATGTTGTAAAGCAAACTTGACTTTGTCCACACATGATAATATATTAATATAATTTTATTGATGATTAAGTTTCTGCCAATTTGTTAACCATTCAGGAATATCATTTTATATATTTGGATATGAAATAAGAGTAGATTGTAATAAAATTACATTTCTTTATATATAATTAGGGTATATGCTAAGTTAATGATTATTTTCTATTTCTAACAATTATTTTCTTTTGCAATGTAATGATCCGCATAAACAGGAATCTAAAGAAGTCAAAGGAAAAGGTAAAGTCAGTTCTTCTAAATAATTAATTTTTCTTGATGTGATAACAGCTTATAAGTGTTATGAATTAACTATAAGTGTTATTAACCTGCAATTTGGATCACATGAATAGGATATATGCTATGCCATATTACCATACCTTGTTGGATCAATAAACTTAAACATAATTTTAAACATTACTAATAGATCATCATTAATAAAGAATTCTGAATAAGGACTTTATGAACATGTCTTTCGATTACCATCTTACATTCTCTTATGAAATATTGTCTATTTCTCAAACCATCTTTA